CAAGATGCAAACAATAGTTCAATGCCTTTTCCCTGCCCTTCAAACACATTAGTCTAGAAGAGCCAACACCCTCCAGCTGCTTTTGTTTGGGGACTTAGAAATAATTAGTTCAACATTTGCAGTATGTTCCAGGGGCTTGCTCAATCCATTCACCAGATGTTGTTCTCAGATCCATCTGGCTGCCGAAATGAATGGAAGAGCCACAATAAGCTGGCTTTGCTCTTTGACTGCAACAACAGTCACCAACTTCATGGGTCTCATAAGGATTTCAAGCCCATTAAGTTTTGGACCCTTCTTTCTTTTCATCTTAATCTCTCCTAACCTCATTATTAATGCCCTTAGAAAAGATATATACACAAATATGTTTTTCTTTCTCAAGCAAGAAAAATATGCTGTGTGTAAATAGAAAAAAGAAGCAAGACAAGTTCTGAGATTTAGGCAACTAGCTGGCATGATATAAATTGTAATCCTTTAAAATAATGATTGTTTTAAGCACCTGAATAGTCTTCTGTCTTGTCAGATTTGGCAGCTTTCCCAACTATAAATGACAACAATCATTAATCCTTTAATAAGTGAGTATAGACATTGCTCAGTTAGATACTCTGTCTTTTGTATAAGGCAGCTTTATGTTTTTATTTTAAAATATTGAATTGTTTAGGATTTTGTCTTGAATTTCTCATCACCCATAAAGTCCAATCAAAATCATTTTGGCCCTCCCCCCAACATCAGTTAGATAAGCACAAAAACAGGATGAACAGGGTCCTTTCACAGCCATAAGCAGCTCATCAGAAAAGGCTTATGGTTCATGTGGTTAAAAGCACTGAATTTTACATTGTGTTATTACTTAAAAGAGATTTTTTGTAAAATGATGTATCCATGCGATTGGGTGAACTCCCTTCCTCCCCTCAGCTCCCGTCAACCTAGCAAATGCAAGTAGTGGTGGTGTGGGAAGAATCCAGAGAAAGAAATATTTTGGCAGAATATATTTCTCCAAAGTAATAATGGAGAAGATCTTTAAAAGGCAGAAACTTCTCCCTCTGCCAGCCAGAAAACTCAGCAGAAACCAGCTTTTAGAAATGCAGATGTAATAATCCATTCAGGAAGGTTGGGGCCAGGAAGCTAGAAGCTGATGAGATTAGAAAGACAAAGACCTCTAAAATCTACATACCCCACCCAAACTCTAAAAGACATGATCTTTGGGAACATAATAGGATTAACCCACCAATACCAAAAGGACACACTCAGACTCAGGTCAAAGTACATGACACAGGAAATACAAAACCTCAAACAGGAACAGGAAACAACCTCAAGAGCCCCAGAAGGTATAAAAATCCACCACTCCCAGCTTTCCCAGAGCTATGCTTCTGTCTGGCTTTGCTCTTCAATAAACTCCAATCTTCTTTCTAAAGCAGTTTCCATTTTGTTTATTCCCAGCTTGGACTGGACTCTGATGAAGATTTTTCTTTCTATAGTGGTAAGGTAACAGCGCTAGGTGATGTCATGCTGGCCACATGACCATGGAAATGTCTTTGTACAGTGCTGGCTCAATGACCTTGAAACAGAGATGAGCACTGCCCCTTATAGTCAGCAATGACTAGCGGAATAAAATCTGCAGTGACTCCTTTACCTTTACTGCTACAAGAGTAATATATGCACAAAAATGGAAAGACTGACAAATATCCATTAGGAAGGAATAGAAGACAACTAAACTAAACTAAACTAGTCTAGATGACAAAATTAACTTTTTGGATTAGAAAAAGATGAATGACTACATGTATTGGTGACTGGAAACCTTTATGGACTTTTTTTCTAAAAAAAAAAGAAAAGAAAAATAAACTTGTGATTTGAAATTGAAGATTAAAAAGGGTAGTTTATAGAAAAAAGGAAATTATAATGTAATTTTAGAGAAGAGGGTAAAATATAAATGCACTTGTAACTATTCACAAAAAGAACAGAAGCTGCTTCTTCTTAATCTTTTCCCTTTTTTCTATTTGTTCTTACTTACTATTTTTCCGTATTTTCTTCATTTCTTTTCTAATGTTTGTATAGATATACATGTCTGTTGTATATAGTTTCTTAATATATACACAGGTCTGTTCTGAATACTACATTAATATTTAAAAATATGACATTTGCTGAGTGCCAGTTTGGAATATTGGAGAAGGTGCTGACTAGAAACCAGGAGACTTGAGTTATAGTCCCATTTTAGGCACAAAAGCTGATTAGGTAACTTTGAGCCTCTCATCACAATTCACTTCACAAGGTTATTGTTGCAGAGGAAATAGGAGGCAGATATTTTTGCCATGCTGAGTTGATAGTTAAATAAAAAAGACAGGCTAAAAATTTAATAATATACCCTTCTTAAGTTATCTCTAAGGTTTCATTCTGACCAGGAATGCAAAGATTAAGGATAACTCAGATGAAGTTGCCAATCATTATCCTTTTTGATTAAGCAGAGAATACACCCTCCCATTATTAAGCTCAATAATGAATTGAGCTAGTGAAATCAAATCCATCTCCAGATTAATTCCACTGACACACTTTTCTGTCAGCGTTCCACCCTGCAGTTATCTTCATTGTTTTATTCTTGGCATAGCTATGGTTCCAAAATGAGTTTTCCTCTAAGAATCTGCATTGCACTAAAATAATGTAAAGAGACCGACTGGACACAATTGCCCCTTGATGGCTCCTGTAGACAATATGGTCTGTTTGGAGTGATTTTGTCATGCTTCTCCCGGAAATAGGTAAGCATCTAGGTTTTTCAGACTTGGATCCCTTATTCAGCACCTTCACGACTGAAGGCTCACAGACCCACTTAGCTGATGATGTTACCTAGTCAGGTAATCAAAAGTCTGCAGGCAAACAACCAAGCTCGGAGAGCACCAAGGACCTCACAGTTCAACCCTGAATTACAGATAATCTCTTCTATTAATATGTTTACTATATGATCAACAGATGTCATTTCTCGGAAGAAAAATATGTGTCTCCAAATTTCTTGTCGTTGTTTTTTCTTGATCTTTCTGCTTAGCCAAACAACAGTTTCATCGGTTTAAAATGCCCCAAATAAGACACCACCTCACTTGCATCATACTACTATTATTTGGCAATTTGTAGCCAGATTTCAAGAGCATGACCTTAGAAGACTCCAGGAGGCACCCCCAAAAAAAAAAAGCTGTGGGTGGAGGCCACATTCAGCTAAGCACCACATTAGTTCCATTACACTGCTATTGTTCTTCAGTTTTCAGCAGTGTAAACTTGCTGGGCTCCAGAGTATGCAAAGAAGTACTCAGGAGCAGGGAAAATGCATTATGGAAACTGCCGATTCTTAGCTTAGTATTTTCCAGTATCCAGTTTCCTCATAACACTTAATTGCCAGGAAGTCAACAAACATTATTCTCATTAGTCAACAAACAAGCAAGGCATAAAAGTGCTTTATTCTGTGCTCCTTCTGAAAGCTTGTATCTGTTGCTACCCTACTGGAAATGGAAAATATGTCTGCCTAGAGCAGGGGTTCTCAACCTTGGCAACTTTAAGACTTGTGGACTTCAACTCCCAGAATTCCTCAGCCAGCTTTGCTGGCTGAGGAATTCTGGGAGTTGAAGTCCACAAGTCTTAAAGTTGCCAAGGTTGAGAGCCCCTGGCCTAGAGAAAGGGCAAAATTTCAATCATTTGAATATCTCTTTTGCAGTATGGCAGTATTTTTTTTTCCTCAGCAACTTGAAGATGTGAGCCAGCAAGGACACAGCCAGCTAGGGAATTCTGGGAGTTGAAACCTACATGTCAAGTTGCTGAGGTTCAGAAATGTATTTTTTTTTAAAAAAATAATAATAATAACATGCATTATTACTTCCATCCAGATTATATTAGTTTTCACATCCAGGTATACCAATCTCTACACAACTGTGATTATTATCACAGAGCACTGAATGAATCATAAAATTGAAGGAACCTCTAATGTCCCTTCCAACTCTGTTATTCTGTTATCTCATCAGGGTAGCAATAATATGTACTAACCAACTTTACACACTAAGAGGATCAGGTAAAAGGACCAAGGGAAATTAACAATAGAGAATGAAAGAGATTTCAATAAGAAATGTAATACAAACACATTCAGAGCAAAGTTGAATAAAATAGAGTTAAGGACTATTTCCCCAACATCACATAGTTGAAGGTTTCAAACTCGGGGTGGGTGTCATTGAGGTACAAGATGGTTTGGACCAGCAAATAACCAATACTTGCACTGTAGGAAGATTGCTGGAAAGGAAACATAAAACTTCAACTAGTGAGCTGCTAAAGAATCCACAATATGAATATATTTTTTCTTATAACATGGACATGTAGAGTTCATTTGGAGTTCAGAATTTAAAGATAACATCAGAAAATGATGCACACTAAAAAGTATCAGTCACGCTTTCCCAAAGCAGACACCAGATTAAAACTGGAAATCAACAGGAATGCCTAATAAAAGTATCCTGAAATACTAATGAAAAGGAAGAGAAAAATACCTATCTGTTTACATTCCTGGACATTACTGTCTAGATTCTATAAGACAAAACAACTTTGGAAAATAAGGACATCTGCAGTAAATACTATGTCAGTTAATATAAACATACATTCAGAACTTCCACACAGAAATTCCAATGAAGGAGTTATATCAATATAAATAATTACGTACGTTCAATTTGTGCAAACCTTATCCCCATAAAGTATCTAACACATCCTTCATCAAATGCAACTATGTTTCCTTACTTTGCCCTGTTGAAGACATCCCAAAACAACAGTACCAATGACTGGACCTTAAACTTTATTTCTTTCATCCATCTATACACACATTCCTAAAATCTGAGGAGCTTCATCAATTGCTGTCAATTTCTTTTGTTCAATCTCCCATTTCCGTCCCCAGCAATAATAGAGTCTGTCATGTTGAGGTAACAGCCAAGGGCACATTCTTAAGTGATCCTCTGGAACAGCCAAAATCAGTAAATAGACTACATACTTACTTGAATTGATGGTGTTCTCTGGAGCTACGAATCTTGGAAGAAAATCTTTCTGCTAATTTTTCCAGATTCCTGGAATATTCCAGTTCAATCTCAGCCTTTCTACGGAAGAACTCCTGAAGATCTTGCAAAAGTTGCAATCGGGATTCAGACTGTTGTTCTAGGCATTTGAACTGCTCCACTAACTGGATACGAATTTCTGCAACCACCAGAGAACAAAAAGAATTTATGAATACCCAGGAACAGCACCGACATTGTATTTAATTTAGCTTATATTATGCCAAAAACAAAGCAAACCACATCAAGTCTGCAGGATAGGAGCCATAGAAATACAGGTAGTCCTCAACGTATGATCACAGTTGAGCCCAAAATTTCCCTTGCTAAGTTGTTAAGTGAGTTTTGCCCCATTTTGCGACTTTTCTTTCCACAGTTGTTAAGTAAATCACTGCAGTTGATAAGTTAGTAACAGTGTTGTTAAGTGAATCTGACTTCCCCATAGACTTTGCTTCTCAGAAGGTCCCAAAAGGTGATCACATGACCCTGGGACATTGCAACCATCAAAAACATGCCGGTTGCCAAGCATCTGAAGAATTTTGATTACGTGACCACGGAGATGTCACCGTTTTCAGTGCCTTTGTAACTTTAAACAGTCACTAAATGGATGGTTTTAAGTCAAAGACTACCTATATTGAGCATTCTCTGTACAAGAGCAACGATCTGTGATTGTTCATTCTGTAAAAATGGCTGGTTTTGCTCAAACATTATGGAATATATAAAGAAGAATCAGCGCGTTATATCAGGGGTCCCCAACCCCCAGTCTGTGGATCGGCACTGGGCCGCAGCATGCCAGAAACTGGTCCGCGCAAACAAGCAAAGCCCCATCCACGGAATGCAGGCAGTACATGAAATCACACCCCCTCCAGTCTGTGGAAAAACCTCTCTCCATGGAACTGGTCCCTGGTGTCCAAAAGGCTGGGGACCTCTGTGTTATATGGAACAAAATACAAAGCGATAGCAAAACATCTTATAAACCTAAATAATCTGATTCTTATTGATTTACAGATCTCTTGTACTTATATCGTAATAGGTCGGGTAGTTAGACAAAGGAAAATGATTTTGCCCTGCAGTTGTCCCATGGTTGCAAATTAAGTCTTCTCTCTGTTTCTCAGACTAGACCCCTTTGTAGGCCTCTGTCTTACCTCCTCCTAGAACCTTCTCCAAGGACTTTCTGAGGGCATAATCTTTATTACATGTTCATGCAGGACCTGTTACCTCTGACTGATCTTTTTGCTTATCTACAGACTGGTCATCACAAGTGCAGGATCCTGATGTCTGTTTCAACAGGCTTTGCATAACATTTCTGTGAAACATGTCATATTTCTTCTGAGAATGTTCCCTTTGTCACTGTTTTGACATTCATTTCCCATAATGTGTGAGACAGGGCCTTGTTAACATTCCCTCCTACCACTTTCCCAGCTTTCTTGGTATTCTTTGCCTGGCCTTGTTGATCATCTTGCCCTATCTGGATCTCATCCCTGGATTCAGCCTTCCTCTTGTTATTCGCTTCTGTCATTTCTGTGTGCTCTGTAGGATTTTCCCAGCCTCATTTCAACCCCTTTAAAATTTTATTCTCCACTCACACATTAAAGTGTCTACATTCAAATCAATGTTTTTCATTATAGCCAGTTGCGATATATGTAATAAAATACAAATGATAACATAAAATGTAATAGCCTTATACCAAAACATGTTTCCCTATATCTGCACAAAAGCTGACCTCGCGCTTTCTCTTATATTGTGCATGCCCAGATGAGCATGAATGAGTAGAATACATAATTAAACAGACTCACTTCACATAAGTACATAAATACACAATTGGATTGACTTTAAAATATTCACACTGAATAATTGAGGGACAATGTTCCCTTCCTGCTCTGATAGGAAAAGAACAATTGGGCTAGGATTGAAGTATGTATAGTGGAATTAGATGGAGAAAGCATTTTCATTGCCTTGAAAAGCAGAATGAAGTGACAGAAAATCTCTCCTGAATGTGTGATATACTAAAACAACCTGCCCTACTTTCTCTTTTGATATAGAGCAGGGGTGTCAAACTGCCTGCCTGAGGGCCAGTTGCATCATGCGGAGGCCGCGCCCACCCCAGCTCCAGCAATGCAAAAAAAGTTGCACGTGATGCAGCGAGTTTGACACCTGTGATATAGAGGGTTACAAAATTAATAAAAGCCATGCAATCAAGCCATCTGTGTTCACAGGGCTTCCAATATTTTTTTTACAATGCTATAATATAATTCACAGTCATTATCATGTCAAAGGAGAAAACAATAGAAAAACACTTTTCCAGAGGAAGAAATGGAAGAATGAAGATGGCTCCACAAAAAAAGAAGGGTCAACAATCTTGGCGAAGAATAAAGAACCAGTGACTAGACAGTTTCTTTAAACCTCTTTGGGAAAGGAGAGGACAGGAGATCACCCACAAGTTACTCCTTGCAAGGAGACCATAAAACTATGGTCTCCAGCAGATTTTGAGCACTGGAGGTGAGGGAACAGCCATTTTGCTAAACCGGAATTGACATCTTTAAAAGGACACTAATTTCACATACCGGTACTTCCTTTTCTAAACAGATTTGGAAATTGCTTATTAACTATGTTTCAGTCATTAGAACCTTTGGATCAACAAATCTGAAAACACTGGGTGAATCTGCCTTCAATCCTTAATGAAAGAACAATTTAATTACAAGCTTAAGTACCTAAAAATGAAATAAATAGCAAAATAGCTAATGGAAACTTTGATTTTTAATTATAAAAAGTTATAAACAGGTTGGGAGTTCATATAAATTAAGAGTCTCTCTGTGAAGGAGGTGGGCACTTTCTAAAAGAGAGAGAGAGAGAGAATCTGAAAGAAGATTTTGGAATTGATTATAAAGAATCCTTTCTATGGGAAAGTTGGCTTCCTTTGATTTTTTTTTCTAAGACATAAAAATTGGACGCTAGAGGGAACTACAGATTATTTATTTGATCAATTTATATAGCAACCCATATCCCAAGCAAGTTTATTTTTAATGAAAGGAGAATACATAAATCTGGTTAACAGCTACAGAATTACACAAAATACTACAACATTGCAAATACTGAAGTATACCTTTGAAAATTGGAATTGGAAATTAATATCAACTATGTCAACAGCGATGTTAGTTTCTATGGATACACTGTATCCAATTGATGTTTTAGAAGAAATGGCAGAAGAGGAATAAGTGTTATCTAACAAGACAGAGGAGCTGTGACCGAAAGTGGATGACAGGCTACAAAAATGACATTAAAAAGTTGTTTTATTAGATATACAAAAGAAATTGGTTGATGCTTTAAAAGTCAAAAGGAATTACAAATAATAAACCAAGACAGGGATCTGAACAACTGTTTACATTAAATTTACCCAAGAGATTGGTAAAGCTTGGATAAATCTTGTGAGAAGAGATAAAAAAAGAAATGAAAAGAAATCAAGTTCTAGGACATTACTTGAATAGACAAAAGATTAAGGCTGTCAGAAGTAAAAGGAAGGAATATGAAATTGGTTTCTTTGATTAAAGAAACCAATATATATTAAAATAGATATGTTGCCATTTTTGACAATCCTTAATGGACTTTTGCTGACACGGACTAAAATGGCAATGCTTTATGGATATGTTTATATATAAGAGATTGGACATAATTTGAAGGGATCATTGGTTGTTAATTAAAGTTATTAAAATTGTTTATACTTGTTGTGATGAAAGTTTCTTTTCTTTTTAATTGTACTATTCTTTCATTTCTTTGCATTCTCTACATGTTTTTCTTAGCCCTTTTGTCTGTCTGTCTGTCTGTCTACCTACCTACCTACCTACCTACCTACCTACCTACCTACCTATCTTTTTTTTCCTCCAAAGTTACTGAGGGTAAAATGGGTGGAAGCTTATTAAAGACAGATCCAACCTGGAACTAGAGAGAAACTTCCTAACAGCAAGAACAATTAGCCAATGGAACAGTTTGTCTCCTAGAATTGTGCATGAAACATCATTGGAGGTTTTCAAGAAAAGATTGGGATGGTATAAGGTCTTCTGCAGGGGATTGAACTAGAAAACCTTCAAGGGCGCTTCCAGCCCTATGATTCTAGGATTATTTTTTTAGTTTGTATTAGTCTTTATTATTGCAATTATTTATTTATGTATCAATCAAATTTATACAGCTGCTCATCTCACCAAAGCTCATCTCACTCTGGAAGAACAATATGAACAATAATTAAAAACAAAAGTTGTACAATATATATGCAACCTTATTAATAAATGTCATAAAAGTGAAAATACAGACCCTAGGAGAGGGAGGATAAAAATGGTCACTTCAACAATGGAGCCATCTGAGCAGGTCCCTGTCACCTGGGAACCCCAGGCCTGACAACATAGCCAAGAGCTGAAGCTAGTCTAATTTCGGAGGGAAGATACACAAAGAAGGTACATCTTTTGGGACCCATCAATAAAGTTCCTTGGCCAATGATGCCTACTCTGCCAGGATTAGTTGGTTCTATGCTATGAAGGGCTTTAAAGATTAAAATCAGCAAACCTTCAATTGAACCTGGAAGCAAACAGGCAACAAATGCAAATTCATGGAGCAAAGTTATGACATGCAAGACTCTAGGAATTCACATAGCTGCCTGCACTACTGTATTCTGTACCAAATGAAGTTTCCAGATACTGTGTAATTTATAAATTAAATTATAATCTTTAATAAAATCATTTAAAAAAAATAAGGGGGGGAACCTTGTTCTCCACTGCCCCCATTATCTGTGAGCTGTCACTGAGGACGGAGCCTTTATTCTGCTTCACGGTAGAGTGTGGTTAACCAACATCTCTTAGCACTGGCTACCACACTAAATAAAAGCTCTCTAATGCTTCTATGTAGAAGAGCCCCCCTGCCTCGGTGAAATGTGAAATGGCTACTCTGCCACTCATGGGTAGCAGATGTGGAAGAGATAAATTATGTAATTTGAAGACATTGTATGGAAAGCAATTTTCTATGTTTCCACTTAGAGCAGGGTGCTGAAGGGTAAGAAAACACTTTACAGGTCCAAGTCCTGAACGTTTCAGGACTCCTGCTTCAATTCTGCTTTTCATCAAATAAACATGCATCCTGCACAGACTGTGCTGGGTCTAGCAGCATCCCA